AGACACACAGAGAGAGTAGAAATTAATAACGACAAAACTAGGGGAGACAGAGAAAGAGAAACACACTAAATCAAATAAACCTACCAAAATTTCGAAATGTAATGCAATGCAGCACAGAGAGTCGGTCAACACACTATTAACGCATAGCCTGGTTGATTACGTTCTTCCAAAGATTGCTAAATTAGAAGTTAAGTGTGAAATTTGAAAGACACAGACACGAAGACAGATACACAAGCAAAGAGAGACAATAACAGAGACCCACAGAGAGAGAGAAAACAAACTTAAAACTTCCCCGTAAAAGTGGTTCAAACTTAAACACTAGGATAGGTTTTTGTTGGGAACTTGTTCCGGGGAACTGTGTTCACATGCAGGAGGTTTCAACTATGATACAAAGGAGCACAATGCTCAAATCACTGCGCTCCTCACATTCACACCCACACACGCACACCCAAATGCGCGATACGACAATGAAACAAGTTCACAACGATATCCGTCATTCGCCACTAAGTGGTGGTGACGTCACCACAGCACTTGTGCCAGGCTAGGTGGACTTTGAGACAATGTGAAGTGTCGAAGGCTCACTGATAGGAGGTCACGGGACAGACCCAGGTGTTATGGGTTGACTGAGATGACTGACAGATTCACCAGCTGTGCTCTCAACTGTCAATGTGCTGTATTTTATCCACCCAGCACTCTGCTCGTTGTTGTGAGCGTCGCTTCTCTGCCCTCCACTGTTTTTGGAGGGCGACTGCCTCCAATTAATTCTAGATTTGTAGCTTTCGTGACTGCAAGGATTCATATTCTTAGGTTTTTTCGGTAAAGTCACGTAGGTAAAAATAAAAATAAAAATCACAACGTTTCAGAGGCAACACAAGCTTCCGTCTTCAGGTGGAACCGTCACAGCATGATTGCTGTATCACTTACTCAAGTAGTCCTCTTACTTGATACAGCAATCGTGCTGTGACGGTTCCACTTGAAGACGGAAGCTTGTGTTGCCTCCGAAACGTGATTTTTTATTTTACTTTCATTTAATTTTTACCTAAGTGACTTTACCGAAAAAAACCTAAGAATATGCCTCCAATTACCCAGTAGCGGCCTTCAAAGCCTCCCCCACCGAGACCAATCTTGACACCACTGGTACCAGTCTTCGGCAATTCCACTCAGATCTACATCACCCTGTACCACATCAGCCCATCGCTTCTCGAGCCCGTGCCGTGCCCGTTTAGCCCCCTCTATCTGGCCAAAAATAAGCTACTTAGGCATGTGATGGCTGGGCATGTGGGCTATATGACCCAGCCAACGCAACCTTGCCAGGAGCCCACTGGTGGCACTGTGTTCAGATATCTCCAGTCTGGTTAAACCCAGGATGGATCGTAGGCGGATCAGCCTGAATGTTTAGAAGTGGTGTAGATGTTCTTTTGGAGGGGTCTGGGTTTCGCCAGCACACATATTCACACACATGAACAGAACGATTGCTTGAGTAGCCTTATAGCTGGTGAGGTCGTCCATGCACAGCACTGTGCTACGAACCCAGAAACCTGAGTTTGATTCCCAGCCATGATGAATGTTGGTGAGTGATATGTGGTTAGGAGTGGAGTTAGTGTTCATGCCAGAATTTTACAAAAGCATGAAAAAAATAACTCTTCACTGGAATAAATAGTCACCAATTTGTCAGTTAGCATTCATACTTGTCCATTCTATTCATACTTGTCCATTCTATTACATCACAAATATATGACTACAGTTTTCCCGTCCCGTGACTACACACCCATATTATGACAATTCCGCATGAGAATGTGGACTGGCTGGATTATGAGTTGATTGGTGATTAAACTGTCGAATACCGATTGAAAAACCAAGCCGCGAGTGCGTAAATAAGGTGAGACATTTACAAAGCACGTTTAGGTTTAATCGAGCGCTTAATATGAATAGACGCTTCTTTGTCTCACACAAGTGCGGTCTACCAACCTTGCTTCCGCATTTCTAAACGAGCGGTTGGCACCAGTTACAGTCCAGGGGTGTCCAAACTTTTTGCAAAGAGGGCCACATTTGATAAAGTGAAGATGCCAGCGGGCCAATAGTTCCTTCTGACATTGTTTTAACCACACAAGTTACGTGGAAATACACACTGTTATAAAACAATTTCATTGTCACAATTACCTTTATTTTTCAAATGACAATGTAACCAAATATAAGCCACTCAGGCAGACGGGAACAACTCTAAAAACGCAATTCTGCCTTTCATTTAGTCAGATAACATTGAACAAACTGTATAGAATACCTTAAATTTCCATGAGTTTTATGATGTATTTATTCTGACAGAGTTAGCGAGCCATAACTAACACATTATAAGACCGAAGCTGCGGGCCGTATGAAATCTGCCCGCGGGCCGTAATTGGCCCGCGGGCCGGACTTTGGACATGCCTGAGTTACACGTATGAAGTTACAAATCTGCCCGTTTGACACTGTCAATGGAGCACTCCTGTCAATTGAGAGACGGTTTAAATCCTGATTAAGTGTTGACATACGGATGTGGCACTGCTGGTGAGACCCAGAAGGTCGAAACGAGTCCAGACTTTGTTCGCTTAAACACATGCTGAACGATAACATTGGGTCTGGAAAGCAAATAGGCTGATGTGATCGACATTTATGCCATTTATATGGTGAGACAGAACATACTTTAGCGTGTGTGTGTTTTTACCCATGTCCTACTACAACAACACAATGAGTCTGTACACAATCATCATGCGGGGGCCAGTAAAACAAGTTCCACTTTGTTGAAATCCAAGTTGTCATCCTGCGTGGAGAGAATGGGCTCCGATAGGGGAATGTGGAATTGTGGTCATTGTAGGTTAATTGCATTATGTTGCTCCCATAATATAACTAAACGTTCTAGATTTGAAGCTTTCGTGACTGCAAGGATTCATACTCTTAGGTTTTATCGGTAAAGTCACGTAGGTAAAATAAATAATAATAAATACCTTCCCCTTCTCGCCCCGCCCACCTCCCCCTCCCTCCCAGTCCCTGACTGCCACATTTAGATAATTTAGATAAGCTCCTCCCCCCTCCCCTTAACCGGTATATATGATCTTGTCTCTTGAATTTCCCTTTATTTGATACAGTAAATTTGGCTGTGACGGTCCCACCTGAAGACGGAGACTTGTGTTGCCTCCGAAACGTCGTGATTTTATTTAGTTATTTTCATTTATTATTACTTTATTTATTATTATTATTTATTTTACCTGCGTGACTTTACCGAAAAACCTAAGAGTATAACTAAACGTCTCAAGCGTGCAATTCGTTTCGCCTAAGGCAGGGGTCGGGAACCTTTTTGACTGGGAGAGCCATAAAAGCCAAATATTTCTAAATATATTTCATTGAGAGCCATATAGTATTTTTAACGTATAATAAATTAAATATGTCTTACTTTTAATGCGACTTCTGGTCACGGGACCCGTGACCCGAGAAATGTTATCTTCAAAACGAATTTCTGTTTACTTTAAAATGACACAGTATTATTAAGCAATATCACAAGTATTTTAAAATCAGTTCCAAACTGATTTTATTTTTGTATTATTATTTTTTTCAACTCAAAATTGTCTGGGAGCCATATGCCGTCACCGGAAGAGCCATATATGGCTCGCGAGCCATAGGTTCCCGACCGCTGGCCTAAGGGGACACCCCCCCGCCCCCCCCATGGGAGATTTCCACCAATCTCCCTGTACCACTAACAAAGGATTCGCACTGATGCATGGCTCACGGGACCAGGCAGACACTCACCTAACTCGCACTGTACCGTTCAACTCGCAGTAGCAGAGCTTTCGCGACAAATGTTATTCATGGTAAAGTTTTTTTTTTATTTGCCTGTGGTAAGATCGCGTAAATGTCAATGTGTCGCTAAGCCACCACCACTCGACACAGACAATTAGCAAGGTGTGTCACGTAAACAAAACTTGCCAAATGTGCCGTGTGTTTACTCTCCAACACACCGGCGTGCTGAAGTGGTAACTACTGGACACGTTTCGTTTACGTGACAAACTTTACCAGTTGGCTGAGTCGGGGGTGTAGTGGGTCAACGACAGACACCTTTATACTTACACCCTCGAATCCCCCAACAAAAACAAACCTTTATTATGAATTGCGATGTACCGTGCGATGGTGGTTGTCGTCATTATGGCGGGTTCAACAGTGACCACGCAGGTTCCACTGTCTGGAAGCATAGTTTAATAACACCGAGTATGAATGTGGATAATATTTATATGTGTATGGTCACAACACAGTTGCAAGCAATGCGAGTGTTCTCAATTGCACCTTTGCACACAGCTGACTTGATGTGCGCTCAAACATCTTTATACGTGACTTTACCGAAAGAACCAAAGAGTAATTCCTGCAGTCACGAAAGCTTCAAATTAAGAATAGTAATTGGTGCAAGCAGATATAGTTGGTGTGATGAAGTTTTAGTCAATATCAACCCTGTCATGATTATGATTTCGCCATCCAATCATGCAGATTTAAACATCTCTTAATACAGTACTAGTCGATTGCAGTACAAACACAAAACATTATTCTTTAATATAAATACGACAGAGATACGACGGCACATAAGCAATGCACCAAACGAACATACGAACATAAGAACAGAATGCACTGCGGAATTTGAACAGTCACCATCTATCCATTGACCACGGCACATAAGCAATGCACCAAACGAACATAAGAACAGAATGCACTGCGGAATTTGAACAGTCACCATCAATCCATTGACAAGAACTCAACACATTCGGCAAAGAACGCTGCCCTAAAAGGAACAAATAAATATTACTTTAGAAAGTAAGGGTCCTTGCCTGAAACGTTGCCTATTGTTTTCCTTTCAGGGTAGTGTTTTTTTTTTTTACAAATGTGCCGAGTTTAAATGACTCGTGCTCTGTGCACAACCGCCAAAGGAGCGTCACACGAAACGACCTAAATCAACTAATCAACAGCTGGTCTGGGTAACTTACCAGCCAAGTTAGGACAAGGAGAAGGCAGGCCAGCGTGAGGAGACATCACGGCTACCGTTGCGCACAGAGAAGACCCCGCTTTGTCTTATCACTGCCAGAGCTTGGGATGATTGAGTTCACTGCACACACGGGCACGCAGGTACACCAAGTGAGTAGGCGTGGTGGCACGAACCATTCACCGGCTGGGGGATGAACGAGATGGACCGACTTTGTGACGCCGTCTTTAAGCTTAATTTCATTCATCGATGGATGTTGACTTCCTCTCCAACCGCGTTAATCGAGAAGTGCCATATATGCACGTCGTAATATGTAACAAGTTTCCCTGTGTTCGAATACAATGGAAGGGTAGGGTAGGCAACTTGGAAGTTTGAAATATAATGTAGCAATAAAAAAAATCATCCGCATGCATATCTGTATTCGAACACAGGCAACTTGTTATATATTAGGATGTGGAGATATGGCACCTCCGATTAACACGGTTGGAAATAAATTCAACATACATAAACAGTTATACTGGTAGGAACCTCCTGGTTACACCAGCCCACAGGGGATTATTCTGTCCGTCCGTCCGTCGTGCATCCAAAAATGGGAGGGGTGGGGCTGGGTGGAGAGGGAAAGGTGGGGAGGGGCTGGGTGGGGAGGGTGGGGAGGGGCTGGGTGGAGAGGGGAGGGTGGGGCTGGCTGGAGGGTGGGTGGGGTGGGGCCGGTTGGGGAGGGGCTGGTCACCCCGTGGTGCCCTTAAACGTTTAACCTACTCACACCGGCTTGTGCCCGCCCTCACAGTCGGCCATATTTGCGGAATACACCACGCCACCGTTGACCCTGGCCATTGACCGAGCAACCCGACGTTCCTACCAGCTCCCTTCGCAGGAATGTGTTTGATGAATCAGGCAGAAAGGAGGTCACAATTGGTGGGACCGCGTGCAGGACGGAGGAGGGCGTGTTGGTGGAACTGGCATTGGAGTGGCACCCAGAGGTCAGAGACCAAGGGAAGAGAGACCTTGAGCCAGATGTAGGTAGACTGAGAGCAGGGCTTGGGGGTCGAGTGTCGACTTTGCAACAACGCTGCGATGGAACAGAAGGGAGGAGGGTGATGGTAAGGTGTGGTGGCATCAACAGCATTGGCCATGATGCGCTCTTAAGCTTTATGCATGTGTGTGTGTTGAACTTCTCTCGCACCGTACGTAGCCAACTGTGCTGATCGCAGGTGCGGGGGAAGGACGACAAACTAAATACAAAAAGCAGCTCTAAAGAAATTAGTTTTCAATCGAGATAATGATGATTTAAAAGTGCATAGCTCCAGCGGCGTCCTAACATCGGAAGCCAGGGCGGTTCCAGACGGCCGCAGAAGCGCATCTGAAAGCGGTGACCGTCGTTGCTGTTCGATGGTTTAGCCAAAAGCTGCTGCTGTGTAGATGACCGGAGTTACGCGTGATGATTTATGCTCCTTGACGGTTCACCAGGTGAGTGGGCGTGGCGGCACAAACCATTCACCAGCAGGGAGAGTGGACGGGGTGAGCCTGCTTTGTGACGTCCGTCTTAAGCTCAATCTCATTCATCAGTGACTGGTCTGTTTAGCACCACGATCTTTATCAGAATCGGGTCGTGTATTCATCCTGGAGGAGGAATCCGGATGAGCTATGACGCGAGTTACGTGAACAAAAAATACGAAAAAAAACGAAATGAGTGCAAATATAGGGACAAAGTAAACAAGTTGCTAAAATTAATATGTACATATAAAGTATGGAAGTACAAATTGCACACGTATAGAAAACTTGCTGGTGATTTGTCAACACCTAAGGCAAGCTCGAGGCAAGGCAACAAAACAGCAAAAACGTTCTCAGACCACACCCAGACAACAGAAAGTCGCTCAACACAACTCACCTGTGCACAACGCAGCTCACCTGTGCCAAACGCAGCTCACCTGTGTCTAACACAACTCACCTGTGCCCAACGCAGCTCACCTGTGTCCAACACAACTCACCTGTGCCCAACGCAGCTCACCTGTGCCAAACGCAGCTCACCTCTGTTTGCAATGTCGTGTTCTGGTCTTTAAGTATGAAACATTCAAGCATAGCAGTGTATCTTCTTGGTTCTTTCGGTAAAGTCACGTAGAAGGGAAATAATAAATGATAAAAATACAACATAATAAAATACAATTCTCACGACGTTTCGGCCACAACGCAAGCAGCCGTCCTCAGAGAAGTAACCTGAGATCTTAGATCGAAATTCATAGCAGTGTAGTACTATATATATATGCAAATGCGCACGAGTCTGCGTGCTATTATTATTTTAGGTAAAAAATGTTTGCAAGAGGGCTCACACTTTGACGTGTTTACCTAAAGCAAGCAGCCTCACCAAGTATATAACTCTCTTTTCACAATATTTTTTTCAAGGTGCCCTTACATAATGCGATCTCAGAGCGCCATGCTTGTACAGGAGGCAACGAACAGAGAAGTAACCTGAGATCTTTTTTTTTAAACGAAAGAGATAAAATCGATAACTGGAGAGAGAATTCCTTCTTTAATATGTGCCGGATCCATCGGCGAGGACCTAATAGTCTTCAGCAACTGCGAGTTTCTCAACCTTGCAAGGGCAGGGAATTTGCGAGCCTTGGGTGCTGTGCATACAGAAGCCAGGTGACCGAAAAGGTTCAAGCAGGGCGGAGCTGAAACAAGATACTTGCCTCTCTGCAGTATTGTTCAACGTAATCTTACCTACGTGTGTTCGTTAAACCTATGAGGTAATTGCACAATGCATGTTTCCTAAGTGTGATAAGTGCGTGAGGGTGCTCACAGGTGTGAGTTTATATCAAAACTAACACCTATCCCCTTTTATTTATTTTATCAGGTAAGGACCCACTGAGCTATATTAGCTATTTTTAGAATCGACTTGGCCACAAATGATAGCTCAACGAAGTGGCTTATCGTGTTGAAATGCATAGCAGCCAAACACTCTAAACGCACGTTTCTAAATGTGGAGGGAAACCCCAGTTAAAAATCCACGCGACCACGGGGAGAATATGCCCACTCCTATTATATATACAGGTGTCAGCAGCGTCGGGATCGAACCGACGACCTTCTATATACCAGGAAGGTAGTTAACATATCGCCACCACATCGCCCTAAAACAAAAACTACATACCTCTGCGGTCAATGAAATGAGCATCACTTAGTGTGAAGTCAACATATCCTGCCTTGTGAAGGCTGCCATCTTCCACTCCAGAGCAAACCGTACACCATATAACAACACAATGCCCGATCCACAAATGCGGAGACGTGACAGCGTTTTTTGGCTTGACCACCTGAATGTGAAATGGCAGTTGATGCTCTGCATCTCCATGAGTCATACGAAAGAAGGGAATGTGGAATTTCCACCACTGACTCAATGTTGCCTTGACAGCAGTGTATCATATTTTACGCAAGCCATGTGGTCTTTAACGTCCACTTTTCCACCAGTTTTCACACTGTATACATTTACTGGGCGGTGAAAGAAACTGAACCTTCAACTCTCGAAGCACTCCTGACCCAGCGATGAGAATACTGACCAGCACACCACAAAACAGCCTCGAGCAAAATGGGGTTTTTTTCGCAACAATTTTCTCCTTGGGTGGGGTCGGTGTTTGGCTGGGGATGTTTAAGTCAAATGCCAATTGCAACTTTACAATGAAGTGTTTCCAAATGACGAGTCTCTGATGCATACGCAACGCCCGGTTCGTTCTTGCCGTGAAGATAATGAAGGGCAAAAGCCAACCACAAAACGTTGACAATTTGTCTGATAAACAAATAAGAAACAAAATGGTTTGGGTGGAGCGGTGGCGTAATCATTGGCTCGCTGCGACTATGAAACCATTGAACCGAGTGTGACTCCTGTCCAACGGTTACGACAGCGGGAGGCGATATCCGACGCAAGTTCTGGGTGCTCCGTGATTAACTTACACTGGCCAGTGTGGTGAAGTATGGTCAAACAACCCCATCCTCTGACACGGAGTGGGGAGACCTTCACCCAGCAGCATAGGTGGAGTTTGACCTCTATATTTGGAGGGGTCAGGGCAGGGGTTCACTTTGTCCCTCACATTAGGAATCGTGGGTGCATATAATCAATTTACTTATGATCTTAAATGTAAACTACTTTAATAAAGGTGGCAAATTCTTAGTTTTTTTTGGTAAAGTCACGTAGGTAAAAAATTTAAATTAATAAAAGTAAAATTAAACAAATAAAAAAATTCACGACGTTTCGGAGGCAACACAAGCCTCCGTCTTCAGGTGGAACCGTCACAGCCACGACAGCTGTATCAAGTAAATGAGAGATCGCAAGAGCTACCACTCCGTATATATAATGGTTGGAGAGGGGGGAAGAGCCAAGTACGGCACACTTTTTATTAATATGGTAAGGTGAGGCTTAAGAGGGTGAGCCTTTGTTATGGAGAGGTGCGGTTTGTAACTCACACATGGCAAACATGACAAACGTGTGAAAAAAGAAAAGCAAATAAAAAACTAAAAATGGTAAAACAACAAACTGGTTGTCTATCAATGACCTATAATAGTTGTCTGTCAAATAAGATGGTCCAAATAAGTGTAGTTACATCTTTTTCGCATGGTTAATCACATCTTTCCAATGATTACTCAGTTTGTAACCCTCATCACGGTTGAAATTATGTCTGTGTTTGTATATCTGTATGGCTTCGTGTACAAACCTTTGATGGTAGCCAGTAGGTTTGCAGAGCACCTTGGTCTCGGAAAAGACAATTTCATGAGAGCCCACAGAGTTGTAGCAATGATCGGCAACGGCCGAAGAATCAGTTCTGACGTGTTTCAGATCTGACTTGTGCTCGTGGACACGATCAGAAACATGACGTTTCGTTTCTCCAATGTAGCAATCACCACAACTGCAACTCAATTTGTAGACTCCAGGATACTGTAAGTCATGGACGACATCCTTCACATATGGAATCAGATCACGGATTGTATGCACTATACTGAATCGGACTTGGATCTTATGTTTGTTTAGAATTTTGGAGATCTTTTTGGTCACGCCTGCTATGTATGGCAACGTGATAGTTTTGGTCGGAGTTTCAAGT